TTTGGAAAGGAACATTGCTGGATGTGACTTTAGATGGATTTGGAGTGCCAGAATACCTCTTAAGATCCAAATATTCTTGTGGCAGCTGTTTCAGGACACTGTCCTAACGAGAGAAGTGATGAAGCATCGAGGGTGGAAGGGAAATCCGAAATGTTCTTTTTGTGGTGGGCGAGAAACTGCTCAACACTTGTTCTTTACATGCCCTGTTGCCAGGGTGACCTGGAGGATGGTGGCATGCATGTTTGGCACTGCCTTGTATCCCAATAACATTTGGCAAGCTTATGTATGGTGCTATACGTTCTTCCCTGGTGGAGAAAAATTTTATACAGCAGGGATTGCTGCTGTATGCTGGGCGATATGGTCTTGTCGTAATAGAGCTACCTTTGAGTTTAAACCGCTTACAAATCCATTTGAATATATTTTTTCTGCTTGTGCCTTAATGTGCTACTGGGCAGGATTGCTGAAGCAAGATGAAGCGGCTACCATGAGGGGCGGGGCAGAGATGCTGAAAGAAAACGCGTCGATGATGATGAGAATCTGCGCGGCGAACCAAGATGAGGCGGCGTGGTGATCTGCTGGAGATGCTGCTCCATGGTTAAAAAAAGTTGTTTTGAGTTACCCCCCCCCCTTTACGTGGGTTTGAACTTTGTTGCTCTGCTATGTGCGAGCTTTATGTCTTGTGTTCTTTTGGGGCTTTAGGCCTTGGATACTAGTTACTGTGATTAGGTGTCGTCGGGTTTTCGCCCCGCGGTGAGTAATCTCGATGGCGAGTGCTCACAGTGGGTTTCCCGGTGATGCGTTGGACTCGCTTCCCCTTTTCTCCTTTTCTTTGGACTGCTGTATTTCCATTATGTTGCAGTAATGGAAAGGGGTAATGCCCGGTTCAAAAAAATGTTTGAATCATGATTTGGATTCTCCAACACATTTGATTCTTTTTTATCATACCAATAAGTTTGTTACTTTGTTCATGGGTATAATGATATTCCTGATGCCCAAGATTGTGCTTTTCCCCTCATATTCAAGTTACTCAATAATAAATATCATGGCCCTCGATTTGGTTGCAGTAGAAGCATAATTGATTCACCTCTGCCTATATCCTAACAGTGGCTATCAACGCCAATCACCTTGATTCATATATACTAGCCTCAGTTGTGAATCTTTGTCTCCTTTGGACAAATAGACTAGAAATTCTTAAAATAAAAGCCCTTGATCATGTGGAACCTTACTTCAAAACCATGGATGTGATCTACTATAAGTTTATTCCTTGATTTTCCATTGAGGTTCCTCACGTTGTGCATATACATGAAGGATGTCGGGCCGTTCAGATGCCTTCCTCAATGCACCGTCATCCATTCCTCCTCTACCCAACATCGATGACATTTCGGTGTTGAGGAGGAATTATTTCATCGCACATGTGGATTTTGCTTGATTCCTTGGATTCTAGATCTCCTTGGGGAAAAGTAGGTGAAGGCTTTGCGAAGATGCAGATTAATCGGGCATGATAACCCTTTGCTTATTCCTCGGTTTATTTTGATCCTAAGCATCAGAAGGACTTCCTTTTGGTTGTTACACTGCTCTGCTAGGGGATAGAAGCATTTCATCTTAGGTCGTACAGTCTGCTCTGCACTATTTAAAATCCTAATAAGTGTATGCCTATACCCAATTCATCATAGACGGTTAACGAACAAAGAATGGAAATGTATAGAAGATAGATTTGAAAAAAGATTAAGTTGTTGGAAGGGCAAGCTAATGTCTTACGGAGGGCGGCTGGTGTTGATTAACTCGGTTTTGACGAGTTTGCTGATGTTCCTCCTATCTTTCTTTGTAGTACCCGTAGGGGTACAGAAAAGATTAGACTTTTACAAATCTGGATTCTTATGGCAAAGCGATGAGGCCAAGAAGAAATATAGACTGGCTAGATGGGATATCTTGTGTAAACCAAAAGACCAGGGTGGGTTAGGGATCGAGAATTTAGAGGTCAAGAATAGATGTTTGCTTAGCAAATGGCTATACAGACTATCGACTGAGACCGAAGGCATGTGGGTATAAATCTCGCGGAATAAATACCTACATACTAAGACTTTGGCCCAGGTGAATGCAAGGCCAACGGACTCATCCTTTTGGAAAGGGTTAATGAAGACAAAAGTAAGTTTCTTCCAGCGGGTGAAGTTCCTAATTGGCAGTGGTACCACTATTAGATTCTGGGAGGACCCATGGCTAGGGGAGACGCCTCTGGCTATACAATACCCTTCTTTATATAATATTGTGTGACGTAAAAAGGATTATGTAGCCACAGTATTAAACTCAGTAGCACTTAACATCCAATTTAGGAGATCTCTTATAGGGGAACGTTGGAATGCTTGGTTACACCTAGTCCGTAGGTTGATGGATGTTCCACTTTCAGACCAGGCAGATAAAATTAGTTGGAAGTTAACCACGAATGGATTATTCTCTGTGAAATCTATGTATTTGAACTTAATTGATTCTGAGCCATTGTCAAGGTCTTTACACATATGGAAAATTAAAGTTCCACTCTGCATCAAGATCTTTATGTGGTTCGTCCACAAAGGAGTCATCTTGACCAAAGATAATCTGATGAAAAGGAATTGGGTTGGTAATCCCAGGTGTTGTTTTTGCAATCAAAACGAAACGATTGAACACCTCTTTCTCGAGTGTTCACTAGCAAAATTGTTATGGCGATCCATTTATATAGCTTTTAACGTTCATCCTCCAATGAGCATAAACACGTTATTTGAGACGTGGCTTAATGGAGTAGACATACACATAGCTAAACATATTCAGATAGGGAAATGTGCATTACTATGAGCTATATGGAACACAAGAAATAATATGATTTTTAATGGGGCAACATTCACTAATTTTTTGCAGGTTATCTACAGAGCTACAGCCTGGATCCGTATGTGATCGTTACTCACTCATGCGGACTACAGTGAGCTTATGTTTATTGGGTGCAACCGCTGGGAGACGGTAGCACGGGCTATCTTCAGCCGATTTGAATGACGAGCGAATAATAGGCTAGGTGTGTAGGCATCATAGCCAATTCTTTATCGCCGGATGTGGCGCTTTATTGCTGGATGTGGCGCTTTACAGATTTATTTACTCTTTTTTTGCTCGGATTTTGAGCTACATTGGATTGTAAGACTTCGTTACGCTTTCTAATAATATGGCTGCATGCATCGACTGATGCAGAGGCCGGAGGTAATCCTCCTATTCAAAAAAAAATACCTTTCACATGCTTTTGTTTTGGCAAAAGAAGCAACAATACATCATGTACTCCTATGTCCTGGCATATAAATGCGAGAAGAAACTCAGACACACCCTACAGAATTAAGACCGGTGACCCATGTTCATCTAATTGATTTACATTCTTCTATATGGGCATTGTTTAGCTTGGACGAAAAGATCTAGCATTTGAAAAGATTATGTTTGATTGTGCTTGTTGTATACCTATCAACAATATAATATCACTAGATCAATGTCTCGTATTTTTTTTACTGTGTTGTAACAACATAGATTCCTCACTATAAACAATGTTTCACCATATCTCCGATCTTTGTGATTCCGTAGCATAGCACATGCATCTTACTAGTCTAAAAAAACAAAGAAAAGATAAAGAAGCGCCCGTCCTCGTCTACTCCTCTGCGCATGAGAACACTTGGGGGTGGGCTAGCTAATAGGGGATGGTGGGTTCCAATGGGCTAAATGGGCGAGCCTAATAAAAAAACTTGCCCGATGGGTGCCTACTAAAGTGGTTTAAGTAGGATGAGCTGGTTAGTCCCCCACTCCCACTCCTATCTGCAGTTTTTTGTGTGTGAAAAACCTCAGATCTATTATAAAAAGTCACCGCAAGTAGAAAGCATCTCAAACAAAATATAATTACATCGATATTCCGAGACCACCGATCGACTGCCAGACCGCCAGAACAAGCAGCCGACGTGCCGCTATCGCCGCTCCCCTACCAGAGCCGACTTGACCTTGTCGATGAAAGCCGAGAAGTTTCGTGCACGTGCCCCTAAGGACCATTGCACTGGAGCCACAGTCTTTGCCATCGAACCCTTGCAGAGATCTGAAGCACCTGACAACAAATCTCGCCACATAACGAGAAACCCAACCTCACCGCTCTAAGGAGACGGCATGACTCTACGTTGGAGCTACATTGACTGTGTCCAGATGGATGAACTCGAGGAGCATCATAGCCTGGAAAGCATACTCGAAGAAGACGCGTCCACCCAAGCGCCACACCTGAAAGGAATATTAACCGAAGCAGAGGCACCGGAATTTACCTCCCTGCCACCGGCCGCTGGAGCGGCAGGCAGAGGGAAGGCGAATCGACGGGCTCGCTGGTGAAATCTCGAGGGGAGAGTTTGCCCTAACCGTTTAGGGTTAGAAAAGGAAACTTAGGATCAATCAGCTCGACCTATCAACTTGATCCGGAGGTATACTCTTCACTCTAGTTTTAACACCCCCAAACATGTGAACCCTTGCCCTCGCCGGCACCGATGGTTCCACAATCAGCTATGTTGCTCTTATCTCTAGCGAGGTCCTGGCTCAGCCTCGTTGAGATTGCTATACCCGGCCGTGTCGGTTCCGTCTCGGTCTCGGAGCTCTGCACCTTCTCTCCTAGGAAATCGATCGATCGGAATTTTTCAAGTTGCCCAATAAATAGCAATAGTCTATAAACATAAAATAGATAGACAAAATCTTGAAATGGCGCAATATATCCATGTATATAAGTGTGAGATTTTACTGGTAAAAAACTTATATATGTTGACTTTACTGGCGCTTCTCATATATGTGCATATGCAAAACATATGTTGGATAGCGATTTAATGGTTGGACACAACATAAACTCCACATGTTTATTTATTTATATCATTCAGTCACTCTGTGACATATTTATTTATTTATATCATTCAGTCACTCCGTGACATGTTTATTCGACTTATACAATACTCATGCAGATATACCTGCATAACTATCTATTTCCCCCCACTCGCATGAAACAGCTTCAACGCCCGGGCCGCCGTCATCCCACCCGGCACCTGGACGAACAGCAGGATCCCCAACGTGGCGGCCGCCTGCTCCGCCGTCCTCACGCCCATCTTCTCGATCGGCGTGAACTTCGCTGGCGACTTCCCCGGCAGGGGCTTCGCGTCCGTCTTCAGCAGCGCTTCGGACAGGTCCTGCCACCCGTTCACCTGGGCCTTTAGCTCATTGGAGATCTTCCCGCTCTTCTTCTCTACCGCCTTGGGGTGCAGCAGGCTGGCCATGAACCCCGACACGGTCTGGAGCCGCGTGGCCTCGTGTACCATGAGGAGCAGCGTCGTCACCGCCTCCCTCGCATGCTGCTGCTTCGGGCCGGAGGTCTTGTCAGCCTTGGTGCGCCCGTGGAGCGCGGTCACTGCGTCGGCCATCTGCTGCCGGCCGAGAGCGACGTTGGTCAGCTTGTCGGTGTCACCGAGGAGGTCGCGGTAGGTGCCGCCGAACCCGACATAGGTGCAGGGCCGGTCCTGAGATTTCGGGGGCCCGGGGCGAAACTAAAACCTAGGGGCCCTCAACATAAACATCAAAATTACGGTCTATGAAGAAATATACAACAGAGCGTGATGCAAAGGCATATGTTTAAACTACATCTATAGGAGTATATTATTTTAGGTACCAAAAGGGACAGAAAACTCCTAGAATAGTGGTAAAACAATTTGCATCCTAAATGCATTGTTGAATTCAAATTTTGAATTCTCGTAGTGACAATGGTAAGACTGTTACCACAAATAAGAGTACATATGAGAAATTAGATAGATGAGTAAATCCATATGACTGATGTGGAAAATATTTCTTCATAACTTCAAAACGTAGATACCTTTATATCTTCAAATCAAATCTACGGTGCCACGATAGTGCAAAAGTACTCCCGCCTCGTTATGCAAATGATTAAATCAGGAGTTCCCCGCAAAAAAAATCAGGAGTTAATTACCCAATTGTGCCGTCATTGCTCAGTTCATCTATAAATTAACCGCCATGAGCTGCGTCCAGAACCACTTTCTTCGCTTGAGAATTGAGATCTATAGAACCATGTGAACATCAGTATTAAACCATAGAATCAGAATGATTAATTGTGCAAATAGTGGAAGATGTCGTCCAGCCAAACTCGCCTCTATAGACGACACATAGCAGCACCGATCCGCCGCTGATTTCCGGCGTGGACCACATCCCTTGAGATCCAGGCCTCTTCCTTGAGAAACCTCTCCTTGTTCATCTGCCACAGTCTAGGCGTGAGACGAAAAACCGGCGCCTGCTGCGTTCGTGATGGCGATGCACGCGTTTGGTCATGGATCCCGCGAGTCAATGCGTGAGTTACGCCGATGTATCAGACTTTCCATCTACAATTTTTCGAAAAAAAATAGACTTTCCAACTACAATAGCTGCTACCACTTGGGTGATGGGCCAGCACGGATGAACATTTTTAGTGCAGTCATAGGCCTAATGTAAAATACAAATTTGGGGGGCCCTCCACCTCGGGG